GTAGGGGGGGGGGAGAGTCCAGTTTAACAGTACGTATTTCAGCCACCTGGTGGTGTACCAGTGATTGCTATAATAGAAACAAGCAAGAATGTGGAGTGGGGAAAAATAACGATTATGGTTAGGGAAAGAGACTGGAGGGAGAAAAAAAAAGGAAAGAATTCACCATTCCGCTGAGCGAGCCATTATGAACATTGATTTATGACCCGGTCTCTTACAAGGGAAGCTTGTTGGCCGATCAATAGTCTGCCGGAGAGAACAGAACGAGGAAAAGGAGGGAAACAATTTACTCTAAACTCTGTGGATTCTCTGAAGATTTGACATTTAGATGGTGGTGGTGTATATTGGTTAGTAGTAATACATGTACTTGTAGTAGTAGTAGTAGTGGTGGTGGAAGTAAAAGGAAATGAATGAGTAGTGATCAAGATGATGATGGTGGTAATGATGATGTACATAATTTTTCTGTTTGTCTGGTTTTTTAGTCTTGTCTACATACATGCAGAGAGAAGCGGGAAAGTAGCTTACAATGTCGTTCATTCTTCTGATTGGACACAATGTGCTTGTCTTCAAAATTGTGTTACCAGTTGTGGAATGCGATTTCCCTGTCTTTTTAGTAAAGTATTAATTAACAGTTACGACGATGGGCATATTTTGTTAAACATACTAAACAGGCACCTGTGCTACACTTTTTTCATACCTCACACCAATCGGCATTTTCAATTCCATTTCTTTTCTTTGTATTTACTTTCTAATAAAGCCTTCTAGTCCTCGACACTTATATCATAACTTAATTGTGTTGGGAGTACCGTAAAACTCATTTTCAAGCCCAAAATCGAATCACTTCAGGGTTTTTTCTTGGTGTTCCCGCCTCTCATTATTAAAAGCAACAACAACTCAGTATTTACTTGTATATTTACGGAAAATATGGACTTTCCAAACGCTAATAATTCTTTCAACTCGCGCCCGAAATCTGCTGCTACAAAGAAATCTCCACTCTGTCTTTGTATTGCTGTTTCCTAGGTTTTGTGACATTGCTGTTTCCTAGGTTTTGTGGCGAGGTATTTATTGTCAAAGTGAAATGGTGCTTCTTCTTTCCTATCAAACATCTGTCGTCCTTATCTCCCCTTCTTCTTTTTTATGTTTGTTACTCTCTTGTGGCACCTCTAATATTCTGGCGCTCATATGACCTTATGCCGTTGCGAGCGCCGTAAAACCTCTACTAAAACTAACTAAAAGTGAAATGGTGCGATCATCTGGAAAGAAGGTCCTGGTCAGTTGACTACTACATGTGTGTTTGTTTGTTTGTTTGTTTGTTTGTTTATTTGTTTGTTTGTTTGTTTATTTGTTTGTTTGTTTATTTGTTTGTATGTTGTTGTTGTTTTTTTAATAAATAAGAAAAACGTTGACAAGGTGATGAAGGGAGCCTTGTCCACCTCGATGAAACAATCGTGTGACTTGTTCTGTCACAACTGGTGCGTTGCCGTGAACAGAAATCTCCCTTCTGACGAGGGAAAAACCATTATTCGCCATCGGCTGTTTGTTAATTGTCCTCTTTTGATGTGTATTTATCTATGTGTTTTTGACGTGGCTATGTTTGTATTGCTAACTAATGGCCGAAAGGAATTTCCTTTATTCTTTGTTTTGTATTATGATGTGTGTGTGTGG